GCTAAGTGCTTGAAAAAGCAAGAAATTATTATTCTTCATTAGTTCACTATTTTCTCATCTAGTAATGCTCTGGCATACTGACTTTATAAGGATGTTTTGTGGGGTGCCAATGAGATAATGAATGGGAAACAGTTATGAAAGTTGAAGTTTCAATATGATGGACAGGACTGTAAAGATTATTTCCATGCCAGCGGCTCCCCAACGCTCTCATCCTCTACTTTAAGTTTGACATTAATATTGCTGACAGGAGGGGGGAGGGAGAGGAACCCAGGGGACGCAGGGACTGTGTCCCAGTAATTAAACATGTCGGGACTGAAGCTCTGCCAGCGCCAGCATCTGGTTGCAATTACCAGAGGGGACCAAAGTGATTAGTCACCTTTATAGTGAGAGCCAGGCAGGCATGCTGGGCTCCTCCTTGGAGAGGGCCTGGTACTCAAGCTCAGGGTCCCTTTCCCTGTTCCTAACCCCTTTAGGGAGTTCTCTGGTCCTCAGACAGTTGTGCCTGCCTAAGACTCTTCTATGTCATCCAAAGTCCCAGCTCATTGGATGAAACCTTGGCTAAAAGACAAGAGTACCCTAAAATCCCCTGCCAACTTGTCATTTCTTGTGTTTCTAGAAGCTAGAGTAGGATTCTTGTATAAAATATGTTAAAGTAGAAATTAGCCTTCCAAAAGTAATTAAACTTCTCTGAACTTCAACTCTTTTATCTGTAAAATGAGATACTAGGAATACCTTCATCATAAGCTTGTTGTGAAGATAAATAGATAAGATACAATGGAATACGGCCAGTGGCAACAAACATTAAGGAAGTATTTTGTGAGATTTGCTATTTTTGTTGTTGCTGTTCGGAGACAGGGTCTTACTATGTAGTTTAGGCTCGTCTTGAATTCATGGTGTAGTCCAGGCTGGCCTCAAACTCTCAGTGATCTTCTTGCCTTGTCTCCTGTGTGCTAAGATTATAGGTATGCACCACCATGGCTGGCTAATAAGCTAATTTTTAAAAAAGCAATGGAGCTTGGTGTGGTGGTGCATGCCTGTAATCTCAGCACTTGGCAGTCTGAGGCAGGAGGATTGCAAGTTCAATGCTAGCCTGTGAAATTTAGCAGGATCTTGTCTCAGAGTAAAATTTAAACGGCCTACAGATATAACTCAGTGTTAGAACACTTCCCTAGCTTGTGTGAGGACCTATAGGTCTAGTTCCCAGCACCACACACATACACACTAAGCAATGGAAGATGAAGGTCACTGTCTGGTTATCTAGAAAAAGTGCTCAAAATGGTAGCTATTACTATTTTCCAGATGCCAAGCTATGATATTTTATTATTAATTTCATTGATTCGCCACAAAAATCTGAGATAAGTACTCCATAGTCAGAATTTTAGAGAAGTTAAGGGAATTTCTAAAATCATACAATGTATAAATAGCAAAAACAGGATTCAAAGCCCTTCATCTTTATCAAACCATATACAGGGATGTCTTGGTTACTTGACTCATCCAACCTTTCAGGCTTACAGAGGTGGTGCCTAATTTGTGGCGAGACAGAATCTCTCCCTTTAAATAACTCTTAAGTATGGTAGAGAACGCATGATGTGTCAAAAGGATGTCTTTTGGTTTTTGTAAACAAGGACCAGTTAGAGATTCATTCGTTCAAACAACACATGCTGAGAATCTGCTATGTGTTGGGCCCCATGCCAAGCACTGGGAATAATTGGAATATGGTGAAGTCTAGTTCCAACCTAATGGTGAAACATGTAGGTACATAGATTATGACACGTATAAGGAATTAAGTTACAATAAAAATATGAAAAAAGTACACAGGATGAGAGATACTAAATATGTTGGAGATTGGGGTAGGGGTGGCAAATGTATCAACCTTGAGCTTCCAGAGTGGAAAAGAGCACAGAAAATGTGCGAGGGCAGTTTGGGAGGGGCGTGCCTTTTCTGGGGGATAAGGAAATGGAGGAGATGGCACGTGAGCCGCCACTTGGGGGCAAGTGGCAGGTAATTGGAGGTCGGAAGAGAGGGATGCTGGAGGCCTAGAAGCCATTTACAAGGGAGTGTGGGTCCAGTGAGGGGGCATAGGGGCAGTGCCGGAATAGGATGGAGTGGAGTGGGCAATGGCAGAGAGGACTGGAGGGTCAAAAGGGAAGCCAGGTGTGGTGAACCTGGCGGTTAGTAATAAGTTTAGCCGTTCTTCAAGTACCCTCCAAAGAGAACAGGGTGGTATACAGGTCATTTGAGTCTTGGTATTTGTGTGTGTGTGGTTTTGTGTTTTGGTTTTTCATCTTATTTTGTTTGTTTCTTTTTTAGAGACAGGGTCTTAAGTTGCTCAGGTTAGCTTTTTTTTTTTTTTTTGAATGAAAAAGTAAAAACGATGATATAGAATTTCAAAACAAAATAATAAGAGATTAACAATGGTTACTATATTGTGTATTATCATCAAAGTAGTTGCTTAGATTACAAGATATAGGCATGAGAAAACGATCAGTTAAGGCACAAACTATTTTTTTGATGAGCTAACAGAGATTAATAGTATAATTTTGTATAATATATATATAAAATCTTTTCCCCTTTTTTCTTTTCTCCCATCCCAGCTGTTTTTTTCTTTTGAGCAATTTCTTTCCCTTTCACAATATTTACTGTACATACATTTTGGATTTTATTTACTCTTTCAGTTTTTTTTACACTGGGGAAACAATACAATGTTTACACCTGTGGGTCTGATTTATTCCACTTGTAAGTATGGTCTCAAGTTGCATCCATTTACCTGTAAAAGCCTTGAGTTTATCCTTCTTTGTAGCTGAGTAGTATTCCCTTGTATACAAAATAGCACATCTTTTTTTTAATCTATTCTGCAGTTGATGGGCATTTGGGTTGTTTACAAGGTTTAGCTTTTATAAATTTTGCTGCTATAAACATGGATACACATGTACTGCTATGGTGTGATATTTTCAGTTCTTCTGGGAAAATACCCAAAAGGGGAATAGCTGGACCCTGGAGGTCAAATGAGACCTCCAATCCTAGTTTTTTGAGGAATCTCAAAAACATGCTCAGGCTAGCTTTGACTTTGTGTTCCTCTTGCCTCAGTCTCCCAAGTAGCTAGAATCACAGAAATGCATGATCATGCGCAAGCACATTGGTCCTTTGACATGGAGTGGTGGAGCTCTACTGTCTTTTCTGACCTAGAACACCTATGAAACTTGGAGTGGCCAAGTCATGTTGCTGGGCTTAAAATTCAGTGACCCTAGAATTGTCATTAAGAAATAAATGGTAGGGTACTTGGACCCCCAGCACCGAGACTTTTTGTTTCATTGGGTTGTTTGTTGTGATGTTAGAGCTCAAACCTTGACCTTTGCGCACATGCTAAGCAACTGCTCTTCTGCTTAGCTGCGTCCCCATCCCCAGAGCTGAATTTCTTGATATTCTTGGGAGGTTTTTTTGTTTTGTTTTGTTTTGTTTTGGTACCGGGGAGGTGCTTGTGCCGCTGAGCTAACCCAGCCCCAAAAAGGGGCACAGAGTTTCCAGGCACTTTCCAGGCATCTCACTCTTTAGGAGTCTTGACATTCTCATTCTTTTTAAAAATTTTCCCCACACCTTGAATTTCATATTCATTTGTCAGACACCCGCTGACATGTACTCTGCCTACTATGTCAAGAAACCAACCTTAGCATATGAACAGGATCTATTAGTTTGGCTCACAGGATCTCAGATTAGCAAGGAAAGCTGGGAACGTAGCTCAGTGGTGGTGAGTTTGCCTAGTATTTGTGAGGCCCTGGGGGCATGGAGATGGAGATTCACAAAGAAACTGTATCTGACTACTGTTTTTCCACTTTTTCCACTATCATTCTTCTTACAATGTGGCAAGTGTTGTAAGCAAATGTTTGAGAAGTCATTGGTGCCAACTGGGAATCGAGGAAGGCTTCCTGGAGGTGGTGGCTTTCCAGCTGAAAGTCTCAGGATGAGAATTTGCTCTCTCCTGAGCAGTGACAGGAGGCTAATTTTGTATGTGAGGGGGAAGCTTCTCCCATCATTTTGTAGTAAGTTGCCCGGAGGGGAATGAGGTGAAGGGTCCCAAAAGAAAAGAGACTTCAGTGCTTCAACAAGGTACTTGAAGAAACCTTTGAGTCCGGCTGGAGTTCAAACCTCTGAACTACCAAAGCATTGTGTGGGAAATCGCTTTTCCAGCCTCCTGCAGGGGCCGCTGCTGCCCCAGGCTGGGACTACTTACTGCATTTGGACTCAGCCAATCTGAGAAAATTGAGGACGTCTTTGATGGGTTAGTGGCAGCACACTCTAGGGTAGCAGTGCCCCAAAGCCTGAAGGAATCATCTGAGCTCAGCCAATGGCATTTGGGGCTGGGGGGAGTGGGCACTGATAGTCTTTCTGTCTCTGGGTCACCACAAGTTTATTAAAATAAAAGAAACTATGGGTAAATGCTGCCATCTGTGCCGCCTCTCCAACACACACACACACACACACACACACACACACACACACACCACCACCAACAACAAATCAGGTTTCAGACTAGACGCAGGGACTAAAACTGCTTTAGAGACACTCCAAGGACTTCACTGAAAACCCACACTCCCTGCACTTCTGCGGCTTCGGATCTCCGAGCTCAGTCCTCGGCATTGCTCTGCAGGATGGTGGGGTGGGCCGCTCTGCGAGGTGGAGGTGAAGACCCTTCAGTCTACTCCGGGGATTGGGAGGCCCCCTAAGCCTCGAGTCCCATTGCTCAGTGCCAAGAGCCCCCGTGAGCCGTGGCCTCCAAAGGGCAGCGGTGATTTTTTTCACATAAATATAACGTACTTAAATGAATTTAGACAGCATGACATCAGAGAGTAATTAAATTGGTTTGGGTTGGAATTCCGTTTCCAATTCCTGAGTTCAGGTTTGTAAAAGATTTTTCTGAGCACCTGCAGGCCGTGTGTGTGTGTGTGTGTGTGTGTGTGTGTGTGAAGTATTTTCACTGGAAAGGATTCAAAACTAGAGGGAAAAAAAACTGGAGCACACAGGCAGCATTACGCCATTCTTCCTTCTTGGAAAAATCTCTCAGCCTTATACAAGCCTCCTTCAAGCTCTCAGTCAGTTGTGCGGGAGAAAGGGGGCGGTCGGCTTTCTCCTTTCAAGAACGAGTTATTTTCAGCTGCTGACTGGAGACGGTGCACGTCTGGATACAGGAGCATTTCCACTATGGGACTGGATACAGACACACGCCCGGCGGACTTCAAGAGTCTCAGACTGAGGAGAAAGCCCTGCCTGCTGCTGCCACTGCTTCTGAAGATCCACTCCTTTCATGGTTTTTCCTGCCAAGCCAGAGGCACCTTCGCTGCTGCCACTGTTCTCTCTGGTGTCATTCAGCGGCTGGCCAGAGGATGAGACTCCCCAAACTCTTCACTTTCTTGCTGTGGCACCTGGCTTGGCTGGATCTGCAACTCATCTGCACTGTGTTGGGTGCCCCTGACTTGGGCCAGAGACCCCCGGGGACCAGGCCAGGACTGGCCAAAGCAGAGGCCAAGGAGAGGCCCTCTCTGGCCCGGAACATCTTTAGGCCAGGTGGTCACAGCTACGGTGGGGGGGCTGCCAATGCCAGGGCAAAGGGAGGCGCTGGGCAGACACAGGCCAAGAAAGATGAACCCAAAAAGCCGCCCCCCAGATCTGGTGGCCCTGAACCCAAGCCAGGATCCCCTCCTCAGATCAGGCAGACTGCATCACGGACTGTAACCCCAAAAGGACAGCTTCCTGGGGGCAAGGCACCTCCAAAAGCTGGATCTGTCCCCAGCTCTTTTCTGCTGAAGAAGTCCAGGGAGCCTGGGCCCCCTCAAGAGCCAAAGGAGCCGTTCCGCCCGCCCCCCATCACACCCCATGAGTACATGCTTTCGCTGTACAGGACGCTGTCCGATGCTGACAGAAAGGGAAGCAACAGCAGCGTGAAGTTGGAGGCTGGCCTGGCCAACACCATCACCAGCTTTATTGACAAAGGGCAAGGTGAGGGGGCAGGGTGGACGGGAGGGACATGTGCATGCACTGAGGGGCTTTCAGAGCTCCGAGGCTGCCACACAGGCCAGGGACGGTGCGTGCATCTGGCCTGGGGTGGGTGACTGGAACTTATGTCACACAGACAGGTCCAGGCTGCTGCTGTGCCAGTCCTAGAGGGCATCTAGGGTTCACCAAGTCCAGTTCCTGCAAGGTACAGAGGAGGGCACCAAAGCCTAGAAAGGAGATAAGACCTTCCATTTGGTGGCAGAATTGAAAACCCTTTAGTAGTAGGCCATGCTCTGTACCTATGTGGGGTCAAACTTTCCAAGCTGCAGGGTTTTCTCAGTGAAGAGGGAGATGATTTTTAGGTTGCCTTGGTTTTGTAACTTTGCCCCCAAGTTAGGGGACAGGTAAGGTATGATAGGTGAAAATAGTAAAGGGGGCATCTGGAGCTGTGAAAGGAGGCATCAGGCTTAGAATCTAACCGTGTGGAAGCCCCTTCCCACCTTGGAGTCTCAGTTTTCACCATCTGTGTACATATACAGGGGCTGGTCTGGGGGTTTTCAAGAGCCTCTCAAATGCGAAAACTTTGCGTCCTATCTTAAATGCAGATCATTCGCATCACCAGCCCAGGAGAACACCTGCTTTCCTCACTTCTCCCTTTCCCACCTTGTGTTGCTGCCTCAGTTTTTCTTCTGGATTTGCTGTGTGACCTCAATTTCTTCATAGTGTCAAGAGGGAGCTAGACCGCTGGCAGCTCAGGTCGCTTGAGGCTCCTGTGCTCTGGTTCTGATCTCGGGACTTTGGCTGGCAGGGTGGGGGCGGGGCAGAGTGGAAGAGGCTCCTCATTAGAGCTGGTCTGACACAGGGTGGAGGGGGAGGCACCGAGGCCACAGGTCTGCGAAGGTGGGGGAGGTGGCCTGGCTGCCTGCCCAGCCAGGGAAAGCTGTGACCCCTTGGGGGCTCATAAAGTAAGTCTTTGTGCCCCCCAGAACTAAGGGAGCTTGGGGAGGGGGTGATGGAGAGTTTAAAGGCCTAATTAGTTACCTTCTAAAGCAACATATGAATGTTCCCCCATGGCAATTTGGTATTTAGAAATGAGGGTTTACTGATTCGAGATACTACTGTCTCTCTCTCTCTCACCTCTTTTTACCTCTTCTCCTACATACACATGGAATCATATACATATATAATGCACACTCTTAAGATACTCATACAAGACCAAATATACACACATGTAGTGTGTCACCCACATTCATCTTACTTGCATATTCACAAATGAACTCAGTCACACATGCAGACATACATACACAAACTGTCATACATTCACACCTAGCAGGAAAAGATATATATATAGATATATATACATATATTAAAATTATTAGACTAGCTTTGTCATTAACTTGCTGTGTGGCATATGTTAAGTCACTCCTCATCTTTGTGTCTCATCTGAAAACAAGAACATCATCTCTTTTAAGGTATTATTGAAGCAGCTCAGGATGAGACATAAAAATTCTAAGCTAGAACTAATTTTTTCCTAGCTAGATGTCCTTGAACAATTCATCTAGCTTCTTTGAACTTTAGGTTCCTCCTTTGGTCAGAGGGTAATTTTTTTTTTTTTTGTCTTTTTCCTTTTTATCAGTACTGGGGATTGAACTCACGACTGCCTGCTTGCAAGGCAGGTGCTTATGCTGCTGAGATAAATCCCCAGCCCCTAGAGAGTAATTTTAATACATGTTCCATCTATCTCGCAAATGAGCTATCACATGTTAGAGAATGCGTGAGAGAGAGCTTCCTCATTTCGAAAAAGGCACTTAGTGGCTTGGGGTTTTGGCCTCTGCAACAGTAGGGAAGAGGTCAAAGAAAGCTCTCTTGAGGGGGAGAGAGCAGGAGCCCTCCCCTGAGGCCTGGAGGTGACTGGCTTTGCTGGTGAGGTTGCAGAAATTGACTTCTGACTTGACTTCTAACTGTTCTCTCTAGATGATCGAGGCCCTGTGGTTAGGAAGCAGAGATACATGTTTGACATTAGTGCCTTGGAGAAGGATGGGCTGCTGGGGGCCGAGCTGCGAATTTTGAGGAAGAAGCCCTCAGACACAGCCAAGCCAGTGGCCCCTGGTGGTGGGCGGGCTGCCCAGCTGAAGCTGTCCAGCTGCCCCAGCGGCCGGCAGCCGGCAGCCTTGCTAGATGTACGCTCTGTGCCAGGCCTGGACGGATCTAGCTGGGAGGTGTTTGACATCTGGAAGCTCTTCCGAAACTTTAAGAATTCAGCCCAGCTGTGCCTGGAGCTGGAGGCCTGGGAACGTGGCCGAGCTGTGGACCTCCGAGGCCTGGGCTTTGACCGGGCTGCCCGGCAGATCCACGAGAAGGCCCTGTTCCTGGTGTTTGGCCGCACCAAGAAACGGGACCTGTTCTTTAACGAAATTAAAGCCCGCTCTGGCCAGGACGATAAGACTGTGTATGAGTATCTGTTTAGCCAGCGGCGGAAACGACGGGCTCCACTAGCCACTCGCCAAGGCAAGCGACCCAGCAAGAACCTCAAGGCTCGCTGTAGTCGGAAGGCACTGCATGTCAACTTCAAGGACATGGGCTGGGATGACTGGATCATCGCGCCTCTTGAGTACGAGGCCTTCCATTGTGAAGGGCTGTGTGAATTCCCTTTGCGTTCCCATCTTGAGCCCACAAACCATGCGGTCATTCAGACCCTGATGAACTCTATGGATCCTGAGTCCACACCACCCACCTGCTGTGTGCCCACTCGGCTGAGTCCCATCAGCATCCTCTTCATTGACTCTGCCAACAATGTGGTGTATAAGCAGTACGAGGACATGGTCGTGGAGTCTTGTGGCTGTAGGTAGCAGCGCTGGCTCTCTGTCTTCTGTGGTAGCACCTTCTGAGAGTTCCTCTTCATACTCTTGGGATCCCAGCAAGGTTGGGAAGCGGCTGAAAGTATCTACACAGCCTGTACAAAAGGGGATTCCACCAGCCTTGCTCACTGGAGTGAACTTGGGCGAAAGCTCCCCTTTATTCCACAAGTCTTCCTGAGGATTTCTGCTCTTCTGCTGCTCTGACTGGCATGGACAGCCTCAGGGGATGGACGCTGAATGGGACTGAAACCCAGAAGACAAGTATTTTCCAATGAGATTCAGCCTGCCATCTTCCCTCACCTCTCCAAGGGATCAGGTGCTATTCTAAGCATCTCCAGGGAGAGCCACTGGTCCCACTTTTTTGAGTCACCTTTGTGCCTGGCAACTTTCTGCCCTTGGGGCAGATGAGATGCTGTTTAAGCTGGAGTGGGAGAGATGGGGAGAGGGGTTGGGCAGAGGTGAGATGCGTGAGGCCTTTAAACTGTTAGATTAAAATGTACATTGATGACATAAAAAGCAAAACTGTTCTGAAAACTGTGGTAGACTTCTTTTTTCTGGGGGGCCCATGACCTCTCTGAGAATTCCTAACCCACAGAGGGAAGGTGAGTTGCCTCATGGCAACAGTCAGGCCCCACCCCCACTCCTGGGAACTGGCGCAGAATGGAGCTCAGCGTACAGCTGGGCAGGGCCTGCGCTCACCTCTAACCTCATTCCGGTTCCTTCCAAAATCCCATGGTCCCAAACTATTTTTCTGCTCTTTTGGGGCCGGAAACAGAGTTAGATTTTTATATTCTTTAGTCAAGTTTGTTGTCTCCAAAATGGATCCTCAAATGAGAGGGATAATGTGGGTTTCGTTTCCTTTAAAACCATCCCCACTTCACTCACCAGCATCTATTCTGATCCCCTTGCCCTCCATACTCACAGAATTAAAGGATACATTTAAAGGGCCTTCTACTTCTCCACTGCAAAATATGGGCTGCCCGGGATGGGCTGCCAGTCTTCGCCTCCTTCCTATGGAAACATCTACGTTTTGCCTGACCTCCATTCCTCACAGGAGCTTGTCTGTGACCTGGCTGTCCTCCAGCTCCACACCCTCACTGCTCACCCTTCACCTCCCACAGCTCCAGAGTCAGAAATGGAGCCCTTTCCTTTCACATTTTACATCCTCCAAGCGGAAACTTACACATTAGATAATACGCTCCCCGCTGGCCTCTGACAGACAAATGCCAGGCACCTGCTGATAATGTTTCCTCTTGGGGCTTTCCCAGAGTAAATGTTCACTTCCTTTTATTGGCTAGACTCTAGGGAGAGGTGTGGGACTCAAATTTCTGGGGGAGGAACACATACTCCTAGTGGGGAAATTTAGAGATTTTGGTCTACAGGCTGAGTGAAGGCTGAGGGCCAGGCTCTACCCGGCTGAGGAGAGACCCGAGGAGGACCAGAAGTCCAAGCCTCTGGCTCCCATCCTTGGGGGCCTCAAAAATTTTCCCTACCTTTCTGCAGCTGGACCTTTGATACTCAAGGCTCCCAGCCAGAGCTGTCTCAATAGTAGGGGCTCCTGCCCAGCTTTGGGCAGATCTTGTGTCCTTTCCTTCCACTCCTAAAACTTGGATTGTCAGGACCTGAAGCCCAATTCATGGGACAGCCTGCCTTTGAGCTGCTTCCTTGGTTTGCAGACTTGTTCCAGAGGGGCCAATTTGAGCCTGGAGCTGAGCTCTCCCTGGCTGAGCTCTGTTGTGTTTGGCTAATGGTGACTCTGGGAACTTGCGATAAACACAGGAACTGCCATGGTAGAGAGATTCCTGGTGTATTTGACAGGAGAATAAGCCTGCAGAGAGAAATTAGGAAGCCAAGGGGAAGGCTATGGGTACAAGGAGAACAGTAGAGAAATCAGGTGCAGGAAACTCGAGAGCAGAGAGACTGAGAATAAATGGGTCACAGGTGGTACCAGATGCCACATGTTCTTATGTCCTGGATTTTGTGTCCCTGGTTTCTTGGCAATATCTGACAGAACTAGAGCTTCTCAACGCTGCAACCTCAGTGGAGCAACATCTTAGCTCTCATCAGTACACTTCTTGTTTGAAGGCCTCAGCTTTGAATGGACAGTAGTCAGTCTAGAGGGACAGCCTAGGCCATTGCTCTCTCACCTCAACCTGCCCTGGAACTGTCTTCCACAAATGAGCAATTAGACTGTTCATCCCCAACCCACTTTTCACTCTAGAGATCAGTATGAAAATGGGAATAGCCCTTTCACCTAACTTTGAGATCTGTGCAACCATCTTCTTGGAAAGGCTCTTTCTGAGCACCAACCTCCAGTCCCAATTACAAGAACCCCTGTGCAGTACATTGTGCGGTACATTCTTGCTGAAAGAGGTAAGGCTTATTTCATGCTTTATCATTCCTGTCCCTGGACTCTCAGCTTTAAAGGGCTCACAAGGCCACAGAGTTTCAAACTTCATATTGGTCAGTTGGAGTTAGAGGCCTTCAACAAGCAAAAATTCCTTGAGCATTGGTTTCCTTATTTATAAAAGAGGAAAATGTAGGGGTAAACATCATACTTATTTCATAGAGATAACTACAGGTATATGAAAGGCACTCAGGATAGTAGCTGGCACAAAGATAATTTTGAGTAAACGCTATCTATTGTCACTGTTGTCCTCATGCTAAACTAAGAAGTAGGCAGGATGATTATTGCCTCCGTGCCACTTTTACAGATAGGAAGCTGATACTCAGAGAGGCAGAGTGGCAACCACAGGTCTCCTCATTCTTTGTATCTGCTCTTCTGGGCCCCTGACTATACTGACCCTGGCCTTGGCAAGTGGTTGAATCACTTCCCTGAGTCTTGGCTTCTTGGCCTCCATAGCATCTCCTTGGGGACACTCAGCTGTTAGTTCCTTGAGAGAAATAGTGGAGCAGAGTTTAGGACAGGGAACATGAGAGGCCCAGGGAAGAGGAGAGTGGGGGCTTCGAGTTGTCTGCAACAAGTGCTTCCCATATCACAGTCTCCTCCGTATCTCTATGTCCCAGGGTCACAATGGGAAAATCACCTTCTCTGGGTTTGGGACACAAAACATTCTGAAGCCACTCAGACTTTATTTGGACTTCTCTACTAGTTCTGCTGATCTAAATGCAGATGTAAAGAAGCATAGTAGAGAAGGATTCTTTGAAATCAGGCAGCCCTGAGTTCCACTACTGATTCCTTTCCTTGTTCTCAGTCCTGATCCAGCTGAGTAAACTTTGGCAAATTATTTAGCCTCTCTGAGACTCAGTTTTCCTATCTGAGGAATATATAAAATTTACTGGGCCTGAGATTTTGAAGAGACAGTATTCATTCATTTTACCTATCCCTGATCCAACCATTCACTCATTAACCAGTGAATATTTATTGAGGATCTACAAAGGGCTAGGTCCTGTGCTGAGCACTGGGAAAATAACTACCACAATCGCTCATGTTCATCTCAGAATTATCATGTGCCCGCCATTTGTGCTTCACACTTTACAGGAATTAGCTTACATCATAGTGATTCTGTCCTCAAGACCCATGCATAAACAGAAGAGAAAATTCATATCCCAAAGGATGTCAGGATAATATAGTTTGAATCAGAGGAAATGAAATAAAACATGAAAAAAGTCAAATTATTATCTAAACTCATGAAATCAACTGTACACAGAGAATGGGAAAAAATTTCAAGAAACAGTTTTGAAGGTGGCTGTGAACTCAGTGGATTTAACTGAAGATAACGTGAACACTAATACAAGTGTATGCTTTAGGGTTGGGAGTACAGTTCAGCATCACTAATGCTAGGCAAGTACATGAGTGAAGCAGTGGGTTGGGTCCCAAGCACAGCAGGAAAAATGAAACAAAACCAAAGCTGTGGCTTCATTAATCAGTGTGTAGTGTACAAACCCAAGGAGACTATCATTCTTCTCTGTTCAGGGGTTTTCCAACTTCTTGGCCTATGACGTAGTGGGCAAGATGGAGGAAGATGTGATAGGATTATAGTGAGCTGTCTAGAAATGTCTTGTGAGATACAGCTGAAGAAACTAGAGGAAGAGGAAGAGGAATGGAGGGAGGAGGAGGAGAAAGAAAGCAGCAACAGCAGTTTAGAGGAAGCATGAGTATAGGCTTTAGGGATCGAAGGACTCCCGTGGGTGAAGGGGACAGGATCAATTTGTATGGTTACAGGGGAGAGACTTACGCACAAAGAGGCATATCACCATATGAGGTCATGCATTTAAATGTTTTTATGCTTATTTCATTAATTCCTGTACACATCCTAGGAGACAGCTGCTGTAAGTCCCATTATATAGATAAGCTATTAATACTATATTGTTCCTTAGGTACATTTCAGAAGAATTTAAAGCAGAGTTTTTAAAGTCTGAACATGGAATAGGCAAAATACTATGATCTTATTGTCAAAAAGAGCTTGGATGATTACTTGGGAAATTGGAGAAGGGATTAAGCATGTTTTAGGGGAAGAGAAAGTGGCAGGACAGTAGAGGGATGTTGACTAGAAAAATACCAGAGTTCCTGGCAATCATGCACACTGAATATAGGTCAGAGCTCTGGTGTCACACTGCCTGATATCAAATTTCAACCATACCCATGTGACCTTGAGCAAAGTCACCATATCTTTCTTTTCTTAAGTTTCCTCATATGTCAAGTAGGGATAAAACTAGTCCTTATGTTGTATAGCTGTTATGTACATGTTGGGAGAATTATATGTAATGTGTATACAAATCTTTTGAATAATGTCTGATTTTTAATAAGCACTCAATAAACCTTAACATAATTATTACTGTTATTTATGGTATTAGAGATTGAAACTAGAGCCTTGTTAGGGCTTTCCCCGCAAAGCCTCATGTGTTCATAGGTGGGGCTTTCCAGAGGTGTGTGATGGTGAGATTAAGTGTGTGATGCTGGGATTAATGGTGTGTGATTACTAAATTAGTCCACTGGTTGGTTTGGCATAGTTCTGGATGTGAATAAT